ATTTTTCTTTTGACAAGAGGATAAAATTTAGACTAGTATGTGAGAATTTTCTTTCATTTTTCTTTATGATATGTCTAAATACAAACTTTTGCAAGATGATAAAACTAATATTAATAAATGCGCATAGGTAAAATATAATTTTCTTTTTTGTGTACTTCTTTTTAACCTATGTACATAAAATAATATAGCGGGATCCAAACGGCACATTGGAGAGGCCGAAATGATCCAAAATTTGTTTATTTCGTTGTCCCCAAAGTAAATTTTCTTTGTGGTAGTCTCATGGAGTTCATTGACTTCCATGGGAATAACGGTACAGAAAGAAGCATCCCTTCGCAAGCTTCCACATCTATATTCAAACTGAAGGTTCTCGTTCTTGAAAGGTCCTCCAACGCCTTGTGCTATGTATACAATGGCATCCTCCGGAGGGAGATTCATCACCATCACAAGGAAGTTGCTACAATCCAAGTACACCAAGCAAGACACCCTGATCTTTCGCGTCCGAGAAACAGGCTCTCTCTTCTTTTCCCATGGCCATGATTCTCTTCGTCGCCTTCTCGCTCTTCCTCCAAGGAGCTCTCGGTATTACCTTGGTTCTTCTTTGCCGCAATGCAACTGTTCCAAGCTATTTGATTTCTCAAATATCTCTAGACTGACCTATCTCTTGTCCCTTATCTTCTTCGTTGTTAGGCGATATTGCGTGCGAGTAGTTGCCTACAGAACTACGTGAGCCTGACAGACCGGAAGATGGAGTACGAATGCAAGACCTCTCAAGTGGTTGTGGATATCATGCGCAAGTGGATCGAGACCGATGATTGCATCAGTGCCTGTGGAGTGGATAGGGAGTCTCTGGGCATATCATCGGATCCTCTCCTTTAGCCTCAATTCACTGTCAAGCTTTGCTCACCGGCATGCTACCACAACTGCCCCAACATTGTCGATCTTTACTTCAACTTGGCCCTCGGAGAAGGTGATTCCCGACTGTGAATCAATCCTCACCATATGCTTCAAAACGGATTTACCTATATCAATATGGAATGAACATTGTCCTCTTGATATTTTCACTAGCACTGACTCTGCAATCGATTTTTAACAGGTGTTTATTTGTCGGATCTCTGCGAGGTGCAACACAGCAATTCGAAGCGGGTCATGAGAGAGGTTTTAAGTTCCGGCGCAACATCCGGTCCAGTCGGCGCAGCGCCTATGGGGAGTCTTTCTAGTGGATAGTATGAGATTGGATACGCTCCTGCTCAAGCTCCCATGTATTAGCAATTGTCATAGATATATATGTATGTGCTTGTGGTTGTATCTGTCAATTGCTTTAGCATGTGATGGGCATGCCATGTATTTGCCAATAGATATCATAATTGTAAGGTGCTATGTGTAATCTAATTTTTGTGGTGCTGTGCTATTCTTCTATGTGCTAATATTCTCTGGAGATTGTCTTTCACGAATTGTTTAGGCAAATTAAAAAGGAACATCGTAATGCATTTGGCAAATACGATTTTGCCAAAACAGTGACATTATCAGGATACATTTAATGATACATGAAACGAATGAAATTTCAGATATTAAAATGAAAAATAGTTCAATAATTAGTGATCAACAAAGACATTGGCCAAAAAACATGTCTCTTAGTCGTAGGCCACCATCATTGTCCTAATAATAGTCACATTTCTCTTTAACCATTATGGGAAATTGTACAAAAAGTTCTAAATTTATTGCACTTTTGCCAATTCTATTTTAAACTTTTTAATTGTGTCAATTGAATCCAAAACCTTTTCACATTTTGCCAATTGAGTCCATTCGGACAATTTTTGTTGGAAATGGCTGACATGGACATTGGCCGTTCTACATGACACAACCAGTGCTGACGTGGAAATTTTTTAATCTATTTTATTTTTCCTTTTTTTACTTCTTTTTTTTCTTTTTTTCTTTAATCTTCTCTTCTTTTTTCCCTTGGCTGACCATGCCAGATCGGGTGAGGGCACCCCTCGCCTGAGGCTGGCGGCCTCTGTTGGCCATCGACGATGCCGGGCGAAAATATGAAAAAATTTAGGACTGAATTGATAAAAGTACAATACATTTAAAAAATTTTGAACAATTTTCCCGTCATCTCCTCAATGGTTGCCACCCTGCATTGCTATGGAAACTGCCACTCCTCCACCATTAACGTAAACATTAGCCAAGGATTTTCTTGATCATTAAAAGCATGTGATGCCAACATGACATTAAAGGGTGATTTAAGGGGCACTTCAGTATCTCCGTTTGTCTATATAACGAAAGGATCAAGAAGGAAAATATATATATAGCTCAAGAACCTAAGTGGCCAAAAGAAAGTTGAAGGAGCTATTCCCACATTTTGTAAAAGTTTAGGGACTACCGGCGCCTTTATCCTTAAATATATTTTGCAAAGAGAATGAAATTCCATAAATAAAAAAGTAGTACGATTCATTTTACATTTTTTTTTGCCTCTATATTAACAGTTTTCCGGAGATTTTTTTCTACATGTACATATTTTCTTTATATTTATTTTATTATGCCTAAGAACATGATTTTTGGCGAAGAGTATAAGATTTTATTTAATAAATGCATGAACAAAAAAGTACATAAAGTGGGACTACCTATTTTATTTTAGGGAATAAGCCAAAAAAAAAAACTCCAAACTATGCCCACCATGACATATTTACTCTGAACTTTGTTTTACATAAAAAAAAATCTCAAAATGTGCCTATAGTGACATATTTACCCTAAAATTTTTCTTGTGACATAAAAAACCCCAAAGTTGTACCTATGTGACACATTTATCTTCATTCGTCAAAGTTCCGTTAGATAATTTTCAGCTAAAATGATATCGTTTTTATTTCACTCAAGCCACGTGGGCGCTATGTCAATACTGTTTTCTTCTAGCTCCATATAGGTAGATTTGTAATAATTTTCATTGACAGAACTTTGACAGAGGGTAAATGTATCACACGGATGTAAATTTGGGATTTTTTATGTCACAAAGAAAAATTTAGGGTAAATATATTACAGTGGGCATGGTTTTAGGGTTTTTAGTGGCTTTTGCCCTTTATTATATGTTTACTATACAAGATGCCTAAGTGCATCCTTTTTTGGCCAAAGACGATAGAAACTAAATTAGTAAAGTCCTGTAGGTATTAAGAAAACAATATAAGCAGACATAAATTGATTAAATTCCATGGATAGTCATGATAAGCGAAATGCGCAAAATCATTATCATTATCTATTTCTCTTTACCTTGAAAATGGAATGTGCTTCTCTCCTTATAGGTCTTCTCGAGTCTTGAATTAATTAAATTCCAGATTAAAGTTTAGTACATAAACAAAAGGTAAACAATGCATAAAATTGAACAAACCGCCTCCATCCACGTTCCGAGGTTTCTTTACTGCTTTTCCTTCATCATCAATCGGGTGCAACCCTAGCAAGTAATCATGCATGCTTGAAACGCATGCCTAAGGCTAGTTTTCAAAAAGAGATAATACATAAATAGTTTCAGAAATATGACCTAATATGCAATTTGATCTCTAAACTTTTAATTCGTCCAATGTTATCCCTGAATTTCAGCTCAATGTGCAATGTGGTTCATAAACTCTTGATACATGTTTAATCTAATCCTTAGACTATATGAAAATGTTCAATATTATCATTCCATTAATTCAAGTTCAAGAACAATATCGAACATTTTCATGTTCAGGGACTAGATTGAAGATGTATAAAAAGTTCTGGGATCATGTTGAACAAATTGAAAGTTTAGAAATGATATTGCATATTGGGTTAAAGTTCGTACACCATATTGAACAAATTAAAAATCTAGGGATCACATTACACATTGAACTCAAGTCTATGGACTATTTATATCATTTTCCCTTTAAAAAAATCTAATGAACTCTCTAGTTCTGAAGCTGAACTTTCAAATTTTCATGTAGAAAAGGAGATAACAATCAAATTTTGGAAGGACAAACGTCAATAACAAAACAAGAAATCTGGGTTCTCGGTTGTAAATTCCGCGGGAGCCGAGCTGGTCAAAATTGCAAAACGTGCCCGAGAAGCACGGAACGTGGTAGTCAAAAGAGGGGTGGATTCCCCAAAATGGCTTCGAGGCTGAAATGAAGTTTCGAAAGAGCGAAGGACAATAAAAGCACAGGAGCAATCCCTCGAAGCGCAAATCACAGAAAGAGAACGCCTTCCTAGCAAACCGTTCCTTTCAACTCACGGTATCATCAACATTCATGAATTTGGTTTTTATTTTATTTATTTTTCATTTTTATTTTTTGTGATTTATTGGGTTCATGAATATGGTTTGACACTTGGGCTTGAGAATGACTTTACGAAGCAATCATACAAAGCCATCCAGTGCATCACTGTTTCTCTCTCTTTTCACCGTCGAATCTGATGAGTCCTTCGCTTGCAAACAAGAACCAGCCATTCGACCAAAAAAAACAACACAAGAACCAGCCTGTGTCATGTTATTATCTTCCCCCCTCTTTTCTTTCTTTATTTATATATTCATTATTTAATATATATATATATATATGTAAGTATATGCTTCGAAATTCCAACATGCAGTTTTACGCATAAAGAAAAGGGTCCTCTGGGCTGCTCAGAACTCGAGGCATAACTCAAAAGCAAGCCCGGCACTAAAACCCAGTTACCAGATTCCTCTTAGCCTGGATTAATTTTTTTCTATTTTCAAAAAAATTATCATAATTTATCACACAGTCATTAATAGTAAAAACAAATAATTTGTTCTTTGACATTAGCAAGCAACGGTTCAACAGATCATGAAATCAATTCAATTTGCATATGGTCTGATGATGATCTCCTCCTCAAAGAAGTTTTTTACTTGGATGCAAGAAAAGGAAAGATACTGAATAATTTACCAAAAAAATGCGATGGGCTCGCAGTCATGAGCTCCCCTTCTATAAAGCGGCCTCACGCCACTCGCTCGTCGAACTCATTTTCTCTCCACTTTCTTTGACCGCTTGGTCTCAAGACTCTCAACACACTCACTGTCACTCTCATTCATTCACTCTCTCTCTCTCTCTCTCTCTCTCTCTACTCATGGTCTCTGCCTTTTTTCTCTCCAGCAAAGGCGAGCTGATGAGCGAAACTGCTGCACTGTCAGTGCCCCTGTAGAGAGAGAGAGAGAGAGAGCACGTACAGCAGAGGAAAGGGTGGTCATCAGATCTTTTCCTTCAATGGCGAGAATCCAGGGACACCATCCTCGCTCTTGAACTCTCCTGAAGAGTTTCTTCATCCTGAGTCAACCATCCAGCTGATCCCTTCTCAATCTCTCCTACATATCTCGAGACAAGCGAGAGAGAGAGAGAGAAAGAGAAAGACACGAGGAAGAAAAAAAAGATGGCAGAGAGCGGAGATGGAAAAGCATTGCCCGATGCAGAGAAGAAGAAGGAGCAGAGCTTGCCCTTTTACCAGCTCTTCTCGTTCGCCGACAAGTACGATTGGCTGCTCATGATCTCTGGCAGCGTAGGAGCTATTATCCACGGATCTTCAATGCCCGTCTTCTTCCTCTTGTTCGGCGAAATGGTTAACGGGTTCGGCAAGAACCAGTCCGATTTGAAGAAGATGACCCAAGAAGTGTCAAAGGTTCGAAATTTCTTGTCAATCTTCTGCTCGAATGACCCCCTCCATTTTTCATTGTTCTTCCGCCGCAGATTTAGATCTTGAATCTGGTTAAAGTTTCTGATCTCTAGGTCTCTTTTTAAATTCTTGATGCAGTATGCACTCTACTTCGTGTATCTTGGGCTGGTCGTTTGCTTTTCTTCCTATGCAGGTGAGCTATTCCTTTTTCATTGTTCTCTTTTGCTCATTAATTGGAACTACTCGCATTTATGTGCAAATGGGTCTTTCCGGGACCGATCAGCGCCGTGTCATTTCTCTGTTCACGTGTCGTCGTCCGCACTGCATTCAACTCTATCCAACCACGAATTGACCAAGTCTGTGGACTCATTATCTTGAACGATCCAAAAACAGAGATCGCTTGTTGGATGTATACCGGAGAAAGGCAAGCGAGCACGTTGAGGAAGAAGTACTTGGAGGCCGTGTTGAGGCAAGACGTGGGGTTCTTCGACACCGATGCTCGAACCGGAGATATCGTCTTCAGCGTCTCGACGGACACTCTGCTTGTCCAAGACGCCATTAGCGAGAAGGTCAGAGTCCCCAGCTCTCGTCCTCTCCACTTTTTACGTTTTATCCTCTGGTTTTTGCCCTGTCCGGAGTGCAAAATCTAGCTTTGGGGTGTCGTTAAATCGTGAAGTGCTCGTCTGGGTGGTTGGTGCTCTCTCTTTTATGGCTAAGGCGGGTCCCATGATCTGAACCCTGGACTTTGACGGCGCGAGTTAGCCAGCCCAAGTTAACGTGCGCCGCGCTTCATTCTATTCCTTGGCTGATGGCTCTCTCTTCTTTTTGTTGGCTGATGGTCATCAGTGATTTTCTGTTTTAATTTTCTGATTTTTTAATGTTTCTCTGAAGGTTGGCAACTTCATACACTATCTGTCGACGTTTCTGGCTGGGCTGGTGGTCGGTTTCGTGGCCGCATGGAGGCTTGCGCTGCTGAGTGTGGCTGTGATTCCTGGAATCGCTTTCGCTGGGGGCTTGTATGCTTATACGCTCACCGGCCTCACGTCTAAGAGTCGCGAATCTTATGCGAATGCCGGCATAATTGCCGAGCAGGTGTGTGGGTTTTTCCTCTTCTTGCAGAAAGTGAAAGAACAGTATCTTTGAAGGGTGTTGAGTTTTGTTGAAGCCTATTAGATTAATCTGAGTCTAGATGCTGTGCTTGTTTTATCTCTTTTATCTTTTGGTACCAAAGCAGACAAAGGGCATAATATTTGATCTATGTATGTTACCATATCCATGAGTTTACGAGACTCGGCGCGAATTTGATAAATTCTGATCTTGATTTCTGCACTAGGCGATTGCACAAGTCCGGACCGTCTACTCTTATGTTGGCGAGAGCAAGGCCCTGAATTCCTACTCAGACGCAATACAAAACACGCTGAAGCTTGGGTACAAGGCTGGTATGGCCAAGGGCTTGGGGCTGGGATGTACATACGGCATTGCGTGCATGTCATGGGCGCTCGTCTTCTGGTATGCCGGTGTCTTCATCAGGAACGGACAGACAGATGGAGGGAAGGCATTCACGGCTATTTTCTCCGCCATTGTTGGTGGCATGTAAGCCCTAAAGCTAATTGAATTCATCTATTCACAATGATAACAAACCATAATTTTAGCAATTGATAATGATCTTGTGATTTTCTCGTCTTTTTTAGGAGTTTGGGCCAATCATTTTCGAACCTCGGAGCGTTCAGCAAAGGCAAAGCAGCGGGATACAAGCTGATGGAAGTGATCAAGCAAAAACCCTCCATAGCTCATGATCCTTCCAATGGGAAATGCTTGCCCGAGATCAATGGGAACATCGAGTTCAAGGATGTGACGTTCAGCTACCCGTCGAGGCCGGACGTAATCATCTTCCGCAATTTCTCCATTTCCTTCCCGGCGGGAAAAACCATCGCCGTTGTTGGTGGGAGTGGCTCTGGGAAGAGCACCGTTGTGTCCTTGATCGAGAGATTCTACGATCCTAATCAAGGTGACAGAAATCTCCCTTGTTAAGAACGATGGATTGATTGGTGAAACGGCTTAGTTGGACTGTAACTTATGTTAAAATGATTGAACAGGGCAAGTTTTGCTGGACAGTGTCGACCTGAAGGCGCTGCAGCTGAAATGGCTACGTGATCAGATTGGCCTTGTCAATCAAGAGCCCGCTCTCTTTGCCACCACTATACTCGAAAACATACTTTACGGTAAGCCGGATGCCACGACAGCCGAAGTGGAAGCAGCCGCTTCTGCAGCGAATGCTCATAGCTTCATTACCTTGCTTCCTAAAGGTTACAGTACTCAGGTCAGGCTCTGTCTCTAATTAGTATACACCTCAATCTAACGGAATTACGGTTGAATCACTCTGAGCTATCTGCTTCTGAATTTGAAAGCAGGTAGGGGAGCGAGGAGTCCAGCTATCGGGAGGTCAGAAACAAAGAATCGCGATTGTGCGGGCTATGTTGAAAAACCCCAAAGTCCTCCTACTCGATGAGGCCACCAGCGCACTTGATGCCGGCTCAGAGAGCATAGTCCAGGAGGCACTTGACCGCCTCATGGTAGGCCGGACCACCGTGGTCGTCGCGCACCGTCTCTCCACCATCAGGAACGTCGACGGCATTGCGGTCATACAGCAGGGGCAGGTCGTCGAGACCGGGACCCACGATGAGCTGATTGCCAAGGCCGGGGCCTATGCCTCGCTGATCAGGTTCCAGGAGATGGTTGGGAATAGGGACTTCTCGAACCCGTCAACACGCAGGTGTCGGTCATCGCGGCTAAGCCACTCGCTCTCGACCAAGTCCCTGAGCCTCCGGTCTGGCAGCCTGAGGAACCTGAGCTACTCATACAGCACTGGTGCCGACGGCCGCATCGAGATGGTCTCGAATGCCGAGACTGAGAGGAGGAACCCCGCGCCTGATGGCTACTTCTGCAGGCTCCTCAAGCTGAATGCCCCCGAGTGGCCCTACTCCATAATGGGTGCCGCAGGGTCTGTGCTCTCGGGGTTCATCGGGCCGACCTTTGCGATTGTTATGAGCAACATGATCGAGGTGTTCTACTACAGAAACCCGGCCTCCATGGAGAGGAAGACGAAGGAGTATGTGTTTATCTACATAGGGGCTGGCCTCTATGCTGTCGTTGCGTACCTGATCCAACATTACTTCTTCAGCATCATGGGAGAGAACCTCACCACCAGAGTGAGGAGGATGATGCTTGCAGGTATCGATCTTGAATCACGCTTCTGTTTGCTCATACATTTGCTTTTGTCACAAGTTATTTGTTTGTGCCGATTGAGATTTAATTCGTGTTCATTGTCCAGCAATTCTGAGGAATGAAGTCGGATGGTTCGACGAGGAGGAGCACAACTCGAGCCTGGTGGCGGCTCGTCTGGCGACTGACGCCGCGGACGTGAAGTCGGCGATCGCCGAGAGGATATCGGTGATATTGCAGAACATGACCTCGCTGCTCACTTCCTTCATCGTGGCTTTCATTATCGAGTGGAGGGTGTCTCTCCTGATCCTGGCCACCTTCCCTCTTCTGGTCCTTGCCAACTTCGCTCAGGTAAAAAGCTCCACTTCACCTACGAATTTTTCATTGATTTGTCTACGCTAAATCAGATCTCATTCATATAATAACAATAAAAATAATAAGCCTCAAATGAAAAAAAAAACCCTAAATTATTCATAAATCATGAATAAAGCTTTACATACCTTAACTCCATGCACCGATTTAATGTTTAGGGACCGGACTTGTGTGTGAATTACATGCATTGCACATGTTCGGTTTTTCCACGACGCCGAGTGCAAACAATTCCATGTTTCGGTAATCTATCCGTGCTTTGGCTTGCGTCTTACTAGTAGGGTATGCGGGGACTCGGAATTTACCCATCAAGGTATACGATGGGTTTTAGATGTTTTAGGTGTTTGATGTTGAACAGAAATTAATTCTAACTGGGGGGCTAATTTAAGTACGATTTAAGTTGCCCCAAATCATATACTAATTTTGATGTTTAGACATAAACGATCATTTATGTTAAGATGGAATCAAAAGTCAAGCTTCAATCAATAAGAAACATGAATGATATAGCACGATGGTAGGAGTGGTGAATAACATCTAAACCTAAAGGAGTGAAAAAGAGGAGGAAACCACACAACAGTACAAGGGCCCAGATAGATTCCTGTGATGCCTACGGGAATCTAACTACACGCTGATCCTGTCCCATTACACGACAAGCGCTACACCAAACGACAAAAAACAAAGGAAAAAAGAAACGAAGAAATTAAGAAAATGTGTCAGCTCTGCACGTGCTGCTCCATCCTCCCCAAGTCCCGAAGTCCCAAAACCATTGACCCCTCGATGTTCAGTTTATCTTTCTTTTTCTTTTTCTTTTTTTTATAATTTGAGCTTTCTGCTTTTTTATCAAATTATTTTATTTGGGGCTTCGCAGCTTCTCGAGTTTGCAAACGAGACTTTTTGGAAAATGTGAAAGGCTGGTGGATTTTCATTAAATGTCGCGGGAAGTTTTAAGATTTATTATTTGATATTAAATGATTTCGCATCGCCACCGCTCGCTTAATGATATCAGTTCGTGGCAACGGTTGGGATCCGTCGTTGATCGGATGAAGACCCGATGCTGACTGGATCCCGGTCCCACCCGGCCCGATCCCCGCTAATGCAGAATCCGGGTCTTCGTTTTTTCCTTTGGCTCTTCTGCAATCCGTTCCTGACGAAATTTGATCTTTCAGTTCTTAAACTTTCAACGTTTCTTTTTGCACTTGGCCTCTTTCCACTATGAACCCTAAGATGTACTGATGAAGAGCATGTGGAGCTCCTTATAACCTTACGGACATTCGCATGTCTGAGAGCCCTTTCCGGGACATTGTCGTCTCGTGGCTCGTAATTGTAGGTATCCAGTTCATGGGTTCTCAAGAATCACACGGTAAACACCTAGGATTGGGTGCTGCTTTGATTACATGAATTGTGATGAAGGTGGTACCATACCGGGCTTTTCTATGGTCCGTGTCGTGGGTTCATTTTATCGTGACTTCTACGCTAGCGCTGTACCGCACAAGTGACTGTTTATTGAAGTTATCTAAGCACTTGGGTGGTCTGAGATTTTGTACTGGAATTACGATGAAATGAACTTGAGTATGGCCTAGTATGACAAAAGATCGGTATCGTAGAAAGGCCGTGGCTCTTTTTTATTATTGTTTTTCTTGTGATGATAGTTACACTGAAGTCCTTTGTCCACTGTAGGAGGTAACCCTACGTCTTGCCTGGTTGGTCCTTTGATATGTATTAGGCTTGTTTTTGGCACTTTCTTGGTGGGCACTCTCTTCAGTAGTGAAAATTCATGTAGAATAGTCGTCACTGTCAGTCACGTATGCAACACTCCTGAGCCTAAATTTTGCAAACATGGGGAGAAGATTTGCAATGAGTGTGAAGCTTTTGATTTCACGTGGATATAAAGGAACTCAAGACACTAGGAGTCTAGGACATCCATGCTAAATGTAAAGGCAAATTGTTTTCTGTGTCACTTTGAATTTTTTGGTGGGAGAAATCAATGGGCAACCGAGTTTTTTTCAATCTTCACAGTACCTTTTTTTTTTCTCTTCCAAATAGTCCTGAAACCTGATTCCCTCACGTTTCAAGATGATATACGAAATTTGGTTTCTCTAATGATGAGATTCGAACAATGAGATTAGCATGAAAATGGAAGGAGATAAGCAAGAAAGTACAATGTCAGTGATCGTGGAATGATTTGAAGCCATGGAGTTTAAAACATATCATATCAACTCATAGCTATCATCATCTCAGAAGCATCACTTGCTATATGCAATTTCCTGATAATTTCGCCCCAATCGTGTTGGTTTTGATTTGGCAGCAACTCTCTCTCAAAGGCTTTGCTGGAGACACAGCCAAGGCCCATGCCAAGACTAGCATGATTGCGGGAGAGGGAGTGAGCAACATCAGAACTGTAGCAGCATTCAATGCCCAAAATAAGATCCTCTCCTTGTTCTGCCACGAGCTCCACCTTCCGCAGATGAGGAGCCTCGGCCGCAGCCAAACTGCCGGCCTCCTCTTCGGTGTCTCTCAACTTGCTCTATATGGCTCTGAGGCCCTGATTCTGTGGTACGGTGCCCACTTGGTGAGCAGGGGCATGTCCACCTTCTCCAAGGTGATCAAAGTTTTCGTTGTCCTTGTGATCACCGCCAATTCTGTCGCAGAGACTGTGAGCCTTGCCCCAGAGATCATTAGGGGTGGTGAGGCGGTGGGATCCGTCTTTTCCATTTTGGACCGTCAGACAAGGATCGACCCTGACGATCCCGAGGCCGAGCAGGTTGGCTCGATACGTGGGGAGATCGAACTCAGGCATGTTGACTTTGCTTACCCATCCCGACCTGATGTTATTGTATTCAAGGACTTCAACCTTAGGATCCGTGCTGGCCAGAGCCAAGCTCTTGTTGGAGCCAGCGGGTCGGGCAAGAGCTCAGTCATTGCGCTTATCGAGCGCTTCTATGACCCGATCGCTGGGAAAGTCATGATTGATGGCAAGGATATAAGGAGGCTGAACTTGAAGTCTCTTAGGCTCAAGATTGGACTGGTCCAACAAGAGCCAGCCCTCTTTGCTGCTAGCATTTTCGATAACATTGCATATGGGAAAGAGGGCGCAACCGAAGCCGAAGTGATTGAAGCGGCCCGTGCAGCCAATGTGCACGGATTCGTGAGTGCATTGCCCGATGGTTATAAAACCCCCGTAGGGGAGAGAGGGGTCCAGCTCTCCGGAGGGCAAAAGCAAAGGATCGCGATAGCCAGGGCTGTCCTCAAGGACCCTGCGATCCTCCTGCTGGACGAGGCGACGAGTGCGCTCGATCCCGAATCAGAGTGCGTGCTGCAGGAAGCGCTCGAGCGGCTGATGAGGGGCCGCACGACCGTGCTGGTGGCTCACCGGCTCTCGACCATAAGAGGGGTGGACAGCATTGGCGTAGTCCAAGATGGGCGGATCGTGGAGCAAGGAAGCCACGCCGAGCTTGTGAGCCGACCAGAAGGGGCCTACTCCAGACTGTTGCAGCTGCAGCTTCATCACATATGAAAAAGGGGTTCCCGTTTTTTTCCTAGAATTGTAGGGAACTTTATTGCACTTGTGGGATGGTGACTAAGCTGGGGTCCAATCAATCTTGTACTCTCATTTTCTGATAAAAGTTGTAGATATGGGTATGTGAAGGTTGATATTTTCTGAAACTACAGATCTACTATTATTTTCCTATCTATGATTAATGAGATATATTTTATCGAATTGAAATTATGTCTTCATGAAAAGCTTGTTATCTATCTGGTTGTGTGGTCATTGCAGAAATACCCTTTTAACTTTCGCAAGCCAAGCTGTTCCATACATGTAAGGCTCATTCAGGATCTTTTGCTTTTTCCCTCTGTTCCTCCTTTTCTCCTTGAGCACGTGTGATCTTTTCAGGGCTTGATAAAGAAGACCCTTTTGAAGGGCGGTCGAAAAGGCAGGCAGAGGCCGGGTTCGACGCTTATATTATTGAAATGAAGATGCAGTCTCCCTTGGCTCAGAGGAGTCTGCATTATTGTAATTGTAAAGCTAAAAAGATGAGGGAAGCTCTGATTGTTGGGTGTGGAAAAAGCTTAAAGAATGTGTTTGAGGAGTGGGTGTCATGATCCATGTTAGGCAGAGCTTCATAATTCATCTAAGTGTCCCAAGCCCTCTTTAATATTTCCATTGAATATAAAGTCAGCGGGCTTCTAAAGTGACCTCATATCTCACAAATTGTACTTGATAATCTAAAGTGACCCTACTGACCAAAAAAAAAATAAAATCTAAAGCGACCCTTTTCTTTTTGTTTTTCTTTTTTTCACTACAAGCCCCTGTTGCTCAGTGAACTTGTAAAGAAGGCAGACTGGTGGGGTGAATGAGTGAGATTGAATTTTTTTTGGTTTTTTTTTGAGCCGGGACAGTAAACAGAAAACAGAAAACAGAAAGTGAGGGTCTAGTAAAAAAAGCCAGTGCAGCAGGGAAAAAGGAGAGAGTTATGGCCCTCCTCCTCCTCAGAAAGGGCAAGCATGAAGATGAACTTTTGTCAGGGCGGCATCACATCAGTTCTGTCGTGTTTCTTAAGTTAGGCAGGTTTCAAGCTCAAACACGGTCTCGGGCTACAATCAGCTCAATCTACAGGGGCTAAGCTCTAGGGCTGTTTGGGTTTCTTTCTCTAGAGAAATGCTACGTCCACCAGGCACTAACATGCTTTACAATGCAAACAAGGAAGGATTTAGCTATGCAGATACTACACCTGATTTTTTAGCTAGAAAAGACAAAGAAGGATTGATTATTAACCGGCTTTTGTTTAGCTAATTCAAGCGGTAAACGGAGCAAGGTGGTCTTAGCAATCCTATGTCTTATACAGAGCCCGATTATCTTGCAAGGGCTTAGTAAAAGCTTCCCGAATGACATAACGAAAGCCTTAATTTCCGACACTTGAGAGTTTAATCTCGGAAGATGGATATCATAAGACGGACCGGAATATTGCACACGAAAAAAAGAAAGAAAGGGAACTTTCTCTTAGTTATAGAGGTCAAGTGATAACGTCAATCAGCTTTCACTCACCATATTTAGTCACAATATAATTGAAGCTAAAACCTCATCATCAAACACGGACATTGTTTTGATCATCATCACTCGATCTAACTAGAAGGGAAGGAACATTCTACCATCTCTAGGATTTGAAACGGCAAATGATTTGAGCACCTGCAGCACCAGTTAAAATTCGTTACAAGATGATAACACTGTCAAAAGAGGCTAGATATTTTTGAGTTCATCAGGCTCGAAGCATTGAAATCGGTTGGGCAAGATCAATGTATGTCAGTTTACCACTGTTGCTCTACATATGGTGGTGCTTCCCAGAAAGGGCCGTCACCTCCATTCATTCATACATTTTCATTTGTCATGTAGGGACATCTGCAGACAATCTCACCCCACAATAATTCACCACATGTTGGTGGTGTTGCTGCAGAAAAACCTCTGGGGGTAAAGTCACAACGCCGTGCATGGGTGTGTGGGAGAATACACCACGGAGGATGGGATTCAGAAAAGGACATGAATCACATGGTTGAAACGAAATTAATGTAAAAAATGTAAGAAAAAGAAATTTGTCAGATGCAGAGAAGCACAGTTGGCAATTAGTGCAAGCAATTCTTGCTGTTAGATCTTGCGGGTTCCTCTGACCAGTTTCTGTCATGCTAGAGTGAGAGAGAGTCCGCAATTGTTGACTCATTCAAGTCACGGGAGGCCTTTGAAGGAGACCTTGCAGTACCTGAAGGCTTCAAGATACCCCTCCAAGCCCGTACCATTTTGTTTCTTTTACCAACTGCATTGTTACTGATAGACTTATCTGTGATTCTGAAAATTGAGGAATTTCCTTCTTTCCATAACTTGAATCGGGACATCTATCTAGATCAGCAATTTTAGTTTATTGTCGCCTTTTGAAGAATCTAATTGAGAGCTCGTTCCATGCTCTCTACGCTCTGCGCGTGCTGGAAACGGTCAATCTTGTACTTCGAATTATTAATTCGTGTTAAACCTATTACCAATGCGTCAATAGGTATAGGAAAGGGTAGATCGTCACGACGAAATTAATCTGGCCGACAATTATGTACACCTCAACTGGTTACTGGAGCAAAGAATTCAACCGGTTGAGGTGGGTCAAAGGATTAAATCATGATCATCGTATTGAGCATGATCATAGGCATAGCAAGATGGGTGTAAATCGCAATCATAAATGATGAGATAATTTAGTTTTTTTTAATTCAAGTTCAATTTAGCCTTTTAAAATGAATGATAACTAGCATATTGGACCGATCATAGTTAGCCACGATCTATTGTATTGAAATATTTTAAAAATATTATGAATAAAAAGCAACCCTTTAAGAATCTATAGGCCTATAATGAGCATAAAAAAGCAAACCCAAAAGAATTCTACAGGGAGAATGGTTTACAAAATAGTTAACGTTTAGTACGAGGCCCTAATTCCAAAACAAAGCACTAACTTTTTCTTAAGTGACAATTCTAGCCCGAATTTTATTTTGTCTAATAAAAATCACCAACTTTTATTTAAATCTCAAATCTAGCCCGAACAATTTGAAAATTTCACATCACGAGGACCGGATTTAGGACTCGAGTAAAAGTTGGTACTTTTTATTGAGATAAAAAAAAGTTCGGATCAGAATTGTCACTGAAGTTGTATTCGAGGCTACTTCCACTTGACATTAATCCTATAGACCAAACGCATTCCAGAATGAAAGTCTAGGCCTTTCAGTTTGCTAAACCAAAAACTATTGAGGAGTTGGGCTTGGAAACCCAGGTAGGCTCAAGGTATTTCTTTCGGACAGGCAGTGTTGGGCCTAACCTCTGCTGAACGGGAAATGGACCTGTAAAAACGCATTAGGACTAACTAAAGAAATATGGATGGTAGGGGAGAAGGATATGGTACAGCTAATCTCGTCGCAAACCGATCCCATTAACTTTGAGTATTTTACGAACCCGTTCGAACTCTATGGAGTTCTGTAAGTGGAATCCCAAACCCGTCTCAAGTTATCAGGTACCCGTCGGGTCCCAACAGGGTCTCGGTGCTACTACAGTACTATGGTTAGCATTTTTCCCTACATAATTCTTCATTGGAACTTTGCTTAATGCAGTATACATTGCGAACCATCTTGATTAATCATCCATAATCATGGAAATCCCAATCATACAGCTACGTAGTGAGTTTCAAATGATCAACGATGGGGCCTTTGTTCATGGATGTTATTCTAGGATGCAAAAGTAATATTTTCAAAAATTAGTGGACACAAAATTAGGGAAAAGTGTCAAAAAAGTCCTAAACCTTTTGTATTTCTGCCAATTTAGTCATAAATCTTTTTTTAGTGCCAATTCAGTCCTAAACCTTTTACATTGGTGCCAATTTAGTCCTAAACCTTTTTTTGGTGCCAATTCAGTCCTAAACCTTTTGCATTTGTGCCAATTCAGTCCTAAACCTTTTTGTCTTTGTGCCAATTCAGCCCTAAACATTTTTGTCTTTGATCCAATTCAGTCCTTCCAGCCAATTTTGGCTTGATTTTGCTGATGTGGATGCCAGCCGGTCACCGGCGCTGACGTGGACAACTTTTAATAATATTTTAATATTTTTTTGAATTTTTATTTATTTATTTATTCTTTTCTTTTTTCCCTCCCTCCTTCCTCCTGTCACCGGACCGGCAATCAGCCAGAGGCTAGATGCCGGCGAGATCGGGCCTCGCCTAGCCGCTGGAGAGGCTCGAGCCGTCGTCGGAGGCCATGACGAAGGCCTTTGGCGAGGGCTTGAGCCTCGCTGGCGGCTGGGCGAGGCCCGACCTCGCTGGCCATTAGGCGAGGCACGACCTTACCAGATTTGGTGAGGTCCAGCCTTGCCCAGCCATGGTGAGGCTCGTCTTCACCCTCGCTGGCAAGGGCAACTTTGCCAGTGAACGGAGTGGTTGCGCCAGTGGCCGGTCGCCAGTTCGGCGATTGGCTGGAGGAGGGAGGGGAGGGGAGGGGAAAAAAAAAGAATAAAATAAATAAATAAATAAAAATTCAAAAAATTATTAAAATATTATTAAAAGTTATTTACATCAGTGTCGGTGATAGTACTTTTATGACTAAATTGACACAAATGCAAAAGGTTTGGGACTGAATTGGCATCAAAATTTTTTTTAGGACTAAATTGGAACAAATGCAAAAGGTTTATGACTTTGTTAGTACTTTTCCCTAATAAAATTGCATAGGTGCAAAATGTGAGGAGAGACCAATTGGGATCATTCTCCTTTTTCAATTTTCTTTTTGTTTTCCCCGGTCTCGTGGCCCACACGATTCCACTGTAAAGTTAAAGTGATCTTTGATGTAATTCACAACTATTACCAACATTTCGAAAGTTCCCTCGAAAAAAACTAATTATGTGACTTTGGCATCATGTATCCTTTATGCTAATCACTAGTACAACTTACAATTTTAGCTATGTTTAAAACATTTAATTATAATATCTCTATCATATTTTGTTAAGAATATGTCTCTAGTTTGATAAAGCTTCCTAGTTTGAGTAAGTTTCCTAAAAAATTGTTTTCTATTTTGGATAGGAATAATATGTTATATACATAAAATATATATTCTACTCTAATATTAGATACAGTTGAACAAACAAAAGGAGTATCAGATTTTTTCTCTATGAGTTTTCTGAGTGAATTCTTAATGAGAGATTGTGAGATAATAATTTGCAT